TGACGAATAAAATTATGAAATTCAGAGGGAAGGAAATTTAATTTTTTGTCAGATTATACAACTGTCTAGCTAGAAAATGAAAAATTGTTAGGACGCCTTTACTCAAACTTAGTGCAGTATTGTAGGCCTAAAACTTAAGCATTAAGCCTCAAAAACTGTAGCTCTTGCTGGTCTTCCTGAAGGCATGATTGATCCCTCATACTTGCTTCACACATGACTGAAGAGAATCTGGATTGTGTTGGGGAAGAGACCGTACTCATGGCTAATCAGAAGTATTAAAATAAGACTGTGCACTACAAACTTTCCAGTCATACAGGATCCTGGTAGCACAAACAGTGTAAGTTCCAGCTACAGAGAGCAAACAGCTCTCAGCTTGCACAGCACCTTAGGGGAGGGAAAAATATATGAATAGGGAATGGGGTGGAGAAAGGATGGAAACTTTGTCAACCAGGTGGCGTTAGAGTCCTAAGCATTAGAGAAGGATGGCACTGGGGAGGTCTGGTTGGATCTGATTTGTGTAGGAGCTCCCTGTAGATAAATTACTGACCCCCAACTTCAGTCTCCAGTTTGTAATGGCTGAATTAATACGTAATCAAGTGCATTGTATCTAAAGCCTTAGAACTAGTCAGGTGCTCCCCCCACCCAGTACCATTTCTTACCCTCTAATCCTATCTGATCTTTAACAAAGTATTAATAATTCTAAGGATAATCTCTATTTTGTTGTGCTTTTTTTGTAACTGTTTTAAATAAATCAATTTGTACTGTAAAACAAACAAGCAATAAACCCCACAAAACTGAAGATCTTCCTGGACTGGACAATGTTTCAGATCCTTAACATTCTGCTGTGCCATTATAAGGACATTATAAAGCATACAGCCTATGCTTGGCCACAGTAAGGGTTCCATGACTGTTGACTTTCATCATTGCCATTGCTATTATTTTATGTTAAGCATTACACAGTCCTGCATTTCCTTTTCTCCTAAAAAGAATTTTCTTGTGACAGCCCATACTCCCTTGGCATAAAGTGCTTTTTCAGCCTTTTCTTACTAATTTATAGGACTTACATAACCTAGGGAGTCACCAGGACATGAACAAGAGTCTCCAGGGTGGAGGTGTCTGGGGAAGCATACCAGTATTTATGGCTGGAACAGGCCATCGTAGAGACGAAGAGCTTGCAGAGTATTCGGGAGGAGCCTGGCCAGCAGCTCCCACTCTACGGAGCAAGCCAGTACATTTCTCCTTTTGTATTTGTTCCTTCCACTGTGCAAAAGTTAAGCTACTCCTGACACTCATATAGAACATCTCAAAATGTTCAAAAAACAAACAGCAGGCTTTCCCTTAGGGTGGTCATGGGGAGATGCCTGGAGAGCTTGAAATATTACAGAATCCCCCATTATATTTTTAGAAATAATCTTTGATAACAGATCTCTAAAATTTTATAGACACCTTAACTTTTGTTTCTTCCATAACAGAACACCAAAAATTGATTTAAGTCCAATGATCACTAATCAAAGGCTTAAATCCACAACTTTCTGTATTACTACTGCTGTCCAGCTTTGATTAAACATTAACAAGCTTACTAGCAATAATACTGGCACAAAGAATACCACTTATATCTTTATATTTCTACTCATCTTTTATAAAACAGGAGCAAAATCTAACAAAGTGTTCCATTCAACAACTATATATGAACCTTTTGTACAGAAAAATAAAAGACAATCATGCCAAAAAAAAAAAATTAAGCCTGGCTATAAGTTCTAGCCTTACTACAAAATAAGTGACAGCAGGGCAAAACAAAGAAGTTACAATCTTTGCCTTTTCTCAGAATTATCATTAAACCTGAAAAGAAAAACAAAGCAAAAAAAGCACCTGTGTTCAAATTCTGGTATGTTATTTCATTTTGCTGAGTCTGTTTCTCCCAGCGTAAAAGAGGCCAACAACACCTACCCTCTAGTTTTGTTAGGATGAGTAAATGGGAGGATGCCTGGAGGGAAGAGCCGGGCACCCATCAGTCGATGCTGTCTCTTCTTGGTATGGACCAGACGCTAAGAGGACTAAATCCCAGACTGGACTGGCAGTGACGTCCAAGCAAATCCGGAAAGAACAAGATCTGAAGTTTGCACATCACCATGTTCTCTGGGCTCAAATCCACTCCTCCACTTCTCCATCTTCAGCTCTTTCTGTAAGAGATACGACTGCTCTTGTAGCTACAGTCGCATCCTTCCCGTCAGAAACAGCACGAGGCACTCTGCCTTGGACTTCGTTCTGTTCCTGTTCTTGCTTCCTTTTCCACAACAGTCTGAGCTTATCTGCCCTCGTCATTTATTCATGTAGTCTTTCCTAGTTTCTCCTTCGCTTCTCCACTCACGGCACACCTTCCTCAGAACTAACCCCTCTGCTGGGCTGCAGCCCACTTCCTCATCACTGGCAGGATAAGGCACTTTGCATTTCTTGCTCGACACTACTTTTCTTTCCTCCTTTGATCCAGCTCTGCCCTCAACTGCCTGCTCCTCCTCTGCTCATGCTTTCCAAGGGCCTTTTGCTAGGGCACCTCCAGTCCACAGCAAAAAGTAACTGGCTTTAGGGTTCAATCCAGGCTATTCTGCCTTTCTCACTCAATATTGCTGATAACTACTGAATCCTCATTGATGAGAATTTCACAACTATGGTTATGACTTTCAAATATACATTTTCACCTGATTTCTAAAAATTTTACTTGATGTTATTCAATATCCACTCAACAAACACATGAAATACTTACTCTGGCAGGCACTGGGATAGGCAGCGCACAAGAAAAGGTGTGCTCAATGACGATGCAGTGAGATTATGCTAGTGGGCAGGTACACAGATACCCCAAGAGACATGTCCAGTGCAGTATGAGATGTAATTGTAAGCAAAGGAAGAATCTTTACACTCCCACACAATGGGGAAGTATGGGGATAGGGGTGGGGCAAAGTGAGAGGGGAAAACTGCACCAACAACATGGTTCCCACTACTGCCTCTGAAAACTCATGGAAATGACAGTGAAAGCCTTCAAAAACCCACTAAAAGAATCTGGTAAGCACGGAAAACAATGCTGCATGTCTACCCCAATATACCCAAAAAACAACCAAGAGAACATACATGTCTTTCGGAAATTGCTACTAAAAAAAGAGGGGCCAGGGATTTAGCTCAGTGGCGGGGCACCTGCCTCAAAAGCACAAGGTCCTGAGTTGGATTTCTCCTACCACAGGGGGTTAAAAACCAAAACACTCAGAGACTAAGAGTACAGCTCATAGAAACTAAAAATCTGATAGAAAAACAGATTTTGAACAGAAGGAGTAAAGGAAAAGTTTAAAAAACTACTCCTCTCCCTTCCGAGGATGCTGTCTGTGTCTCTCTTAGTGCAGGCCCTTCCAGATTGCTGTTCCCTGAACCCAGAGTGCTTCTCCATGTGGCCTACTGCTTCGCTGGAGTTCAGAAGTACCTTCAGGAAAGGCCTTCCTCAACCAGCCCTATAAAATGGCACTTTTGTTTTTAATGGCACTCTTGTTTATTAATCTGCTTCTGTTAAGCTGCCTTATCTTTCCACACAACACCTACCATCACATCGTATTCATTTGCTCCCTTTTTTCTTTCCTTCCCTTCCCTTCTGAGTCTCTTCCTTTCTTATTTAGTTTATTGTCTCCTCGATTTGCATACTGCTATATTTCAGTGCTAGGAATAGGGCCTACCACTCAATAAATACTTATGATAGGAATAGGTCATTCACCTAAGAATAAATAAAAATAACAATAGTTAATACAATCCACAGAAATCTATTAAAATAAAGCAATTAGAGCTGCCTTAAGTGGTCATGTCATAGCCGGGCATGGTGGCACATACCTGTAATCCCAGCACTTGGGAGGCTGAGGCAGGAGGATCACTGTGAGTTCAAGACCAGCCTGGGCTACATAGTGAGTTCCAGGTCAGTCTCGACTACATAGTGAGACCCTGTCTCAAAAAACCAAAAAAAAAAAAAAAAAAAAAATGAGGTCATGTCATAATAAATGAATCAGCATTAAGAACACAAAATAGTATTGAAAATTGTGAAGTATGTAGCAAGATTCATGAACATGTCTATAGTATTTGACCCAGTGATTCCTTTCCTAGAATCCTATTCTTTAGAAAGCTTATTGGCAATTGGAACTGATGGTCATGAGGTTAAATGCCTCTGTGGTGAAATTAAACATTCCCAAAGAAATAAGTGCAACAGAATTTCTATAACCAAGTACAGTAATGAGCAACTTCTTTTCCTTCTCATAAGGAGATGTAATAAACACAGGCAGGCCTACTGGAAGCCTTATGACCCTGGAAGGCTTATCTTACATGAAATACCTGTACCTTTAGAAAACAATCCGTGATTCCTGACTTTTGTATCTGACCTAACATTCTCACGACTATTAGGTAAACTTTCTGGAATGCATGTTAGACTGAATTGACTATCCATAGCTTGACCAAGAACAGGGCCCTGACTTTACCAATCTTCTCTCAAGGAATGCAGTAAGATACCATCTCAGTCCAATGTTGCAGATTTTCCACACCTTAACTCACCTATGCAATGCCACCATCAATGTATTCCCTGAATGTACTCACAAGAAGCTACAGGTACAGATTAGGCCGGGAAGTAACACTCATCAAAGACATTAGAGAAGATAGCCTATTCAGAGGAGACTGAATGCAAAGTACAGAACAAAGAGAAGGTAATAACTGCTGACATTCACTGAATGCTCAGTATGTCTCAGGCAACCCAGGAGTGCTACAAATATAGTAACTCATTTAGCTCCCATTGCTTATTACCTCCCTCCACGATAAGGACACATGTGCGAGCCAAGGAGAATGAGTCTTATCAATACTGTGCGCCATCTCCTGATAGAAAATATGTTAACTGGCACTATGCTCTCAAGACACAAAGACCTCTGAAGTGACTACTCCCCAGGGAGACACGTTCCTGTGACAGGGCCTGGCATCTTGACACCCACCTGGAGAGACACACCCTGGGGGTTCTTTGTTCCTCAGGCTCAGTTCTTGCTCCTGCTGGGATATCACACTTGGTTTAGAAAGCTGAAGCCCTGCTTGGAAGGAAAGAGATCCAGTGTAGGTTCTGAACCGAGACTAAAAACCAACCCCAGCACAGTTCTGATCCCTTCTCTTTCAAGGCTTCTGTGATAGGAAGGTGTGGCTCAGGAAGTTCCCCATTTTCCATTCTCTATGGAAGAAAAGACCTTTCACCTTGAAATGGGATACAAAGTAAATACCCTAAAACAAAGCTCTGTGAGAGCTAGGTTTCCAGTCCAGATCTGAATTTCAGAGGTCACACAGGATCATGAGGTATCAAGAAGTAGGTCTTGAGTTACAAGAAATCCTTACCCAATGAGATCAGGTTCCTGTAGTTCTCCAGCATGACTTTGCCATACAGGTTTCTCTGAGCAGGATCTAGCTGCATCCACTCATCCCAAGTGAAATCCACAGACACATCCTTGAACGTCACTAACTCCTGAAACTAAAACGCCCTCCTCAACAAGGGATTATGCAATAAACAAAACAAAACAAGAAACAAAAACAAAAAACCAAAACAAACCTCTGAGGGCTGTGAAAAATCAAGGAGCAAGAGAGGAGAATGGACAGGATACAGAGATCTAGACGAGAAAAATGTTTTACCTTCCAACATAAATAAAATAGGTGCAAGAAAAATAGGCATTATCATGAATAAGTCAGAGATAAATACATGAAGTGACCTGGGAGTCAAGGACAGGAAGAGTAAAGATAAAGGAGTGCCTTTGTTATTCGTATACAGGAACACTGGTTATTAATTCTAGGAGTCTTTTGCTGGAGTTTTTGGCATCTTCTCTGTAGAATATCATGTCACCACCAAATAAAATATGAATGACAAACTCACTGAGAGAGAAATAAGGGAAACAGCACTTTTCACGATGGCATCAAGGAAACTGAAATACTTAAGGGTTTTGAACCTAGACCCACATCTCTAATCATGCACTGATTTAAAATCAAAATGGGGGATGGGGATTTAGTTCAGTGGTTCCACTGCCTGCCTTGCAAGCACAAGGTCCTGAGTTTGATTCCCCAATACCAAAATAAATAAATAAAATCAAAATGGATCAAAGATCTAAATATTGAAACAGAATCACAAAATCTACTAGAAAATGGAATAGGTAAAACTCTTAAAGATATATGGCAAAGACTTTATGAACAAAACCCTGATTACACAGGAAATATTACAAAGAATCAACAATTGGGATTATATCAAATTAATTAAATACATGACACAAAAATTAAAAGCCCAAATTCAGATTGCTGTGTTGGTGTCCTTCAAAGTTCCAAACTCTCATCTCCTTATGTTAGAAGGCAGGACGCCACAGAACGTGTCTCCTCATCACTGTGGTTCCTGTGTTGGTTACAGGGTTGTAAAGCACTGACTTAGGTAACACAGAAAGGCACCGGACTTTTCAAAGGCTACATGAAATGTAGTAGCATCATTCACAAAGTGCATTTGTTGTTATCCCTTAAAATGTTATTTCCCTGTCACCTCTCCTACTCCAATGCAGGGTTACATTAAGCAGAGTAAGTCTTTGTGTTTGAAAAACATAGCTTCATGGGTTTATCTTACTTAGGCAGATTTTTCTTTGAACTGAAGACTTTTTTATATTTTTATGCTTTGAAAAGGTCATATATCAAATGGACTAAACAGGGATATCTTAAATCATAAAAGTATAATATATAAAGAATATAATAAAGTGGTAAAGTTTTAGGCACCACAGCAGCAAAAGGTCTTCAGATACAATACTTGACAGTCCAAAACAGTTTTTCTTTACAAAATCTGAATGAGTTAAATCCCAGTTACAACAGGAACTAAAAATGAGCCACCTCAGAGTACACTTACTAGAAATACGTAAGCTCTTCCTGATCACTCTGTAAAAGCCCAACAAAGGATGTAATGAAAGATGTGAACAGAGTGAAAGATAATTTTGTTACTTAATAGGAAGAATAAATGTTGCAAAAGTAGTAGTCTTCCTCAAATTGATGTATCTGCTTCTTGAAATTCAAATCAGAGTGGCATATTTTTACTGTTTTATTGTTACTAAGGGAAGTTAGTAACAGATGATAAAACTTGACTAGAAAAGTACATGTGTAAGAACAGTAACTAAAATTTTGAAGAGAAAACTAGGAGGGATTTGCCTTACAAAACAAAATAAATTCTAAAATAGCAAATGAAACAGCGGGACATAACGAAACAGAACTACAGGATAGAATCCAGAAAAATACACGGTCATATACATTAGGTATATGGAAATTCAGTATATTTGAAAGGTTGCCTTTCAAATCTATAGAGAATGAACAGATTTTTCAGTAGATGACACTGGCTAAAATGCCATCTCTTAAAAGAGGTGTGGCTCCTGCTCTCCCCAGCAGAAGTCCCCTAGTTACACTCTACCGCACAGTCCTCCCCAGTTTACGTAGTCTTCCTCACACCTCAAGGCTTCTCTCAACAGTCTGCCTCCCTACAAAACTGTGAGACGTACCAGAGGAGACCTTGCCAGTTTCATTCACTGCTGCCTTCTCACTATCCAGAACCCTGCTCCACACAAGGTAGGAAGGTGCTGGGCGTCTTGTTCAATGAACAGATGGGCAGATGGATGGATGGATGGATGGAAGGGCCCACCACCATGCTGACCGAAGTTAGATCCCACTTCACAACATACGCAAGAAATTACAAAAACTTTAAAATTATAAGAGTAATAGAAAACAGAGAAAAACATTTATATAACTTTGGATACAGAAAGCCTTTCAGAGCCACGAGTCCTTAGCCAAAGGAAAATAAATATAACTGCAAAAAAACCTTATTTGTAGCAGATATAATAAAAAAATTAAAAGAAAAATGTCAGAAAACAATACTGGCAACTTATGGCAAAGGATTACTATCCACATTGTATAAAAGGCTTCTGTTATACAAAAATAACCCAAATGCGCAAAGGAGACAGATTGGTGTTTTATACAGTTAGAATAAAGTATATTATAGTGGTTTTTGAGGGTTGGAGACCTGGAATTTTATGCTGTAAACTTTACAGTTTAAAAAAGGCTATAAGAAGCCAGGTGTGGTGGTGACTGCCTATAATTGGTATTTAGAGGTTGTAACAGAAGGATATTAAGTGTGAGCCCAGTAACAGAACTTTAGTGACTTAGTGAGATACTGTCATGAAAGGGGGCAAGGGTTGGGATGTACTTCAGTGCAAAGACCCTGGTCAGTCCCTACTACTAAAAAAAAAACTACAAGATATGATTAGGCTATATATCTTATACTCAGAAAAGCAATAAAATTTACAGGCAAAAAACTCATACTTGAGCAACTCACAGTCATAAAGGAAAGATGAAAATAGATGAATACAGGAAAATGGCTCTAATTTTGGACTAACATGTCCCAAATATCTGTTACTATATATCAAAATTTCATTCAATTTATAGCTTATAATCAGTTTCTAGTTAGTCACTCATGTCCCATTACCTGCTATACAGCTCTAAGTGAGCAGTCATTTTGAGATGGAGAAACAAACTGAAGAAGTATCTGTAGCCAGCTGATGTCACACATCTAGGCTAATGTCCTTAATAGAGTCTGCGTAAATGAACTATAGCATACTCACACAATGGAAGACAGACACTTCTTACATATGTACCAGTATGGACAGGTCTCCAAGACACCACAGTGTAAAGCACACAAAATATATGCTAAAACATGAAGGGTTGAGTCCTGATTAGAATTAGCTGTTACCAACTGGCTAAAATACTATAAGTTTATATCTATATAACTATGTACAAGCATATATTACATATTCTATATACACACACAAGCTTCCAGAGTCATCTCTGGAAAGTGTAAGAAATTGCTATCATCACCTTCTATAGGGAGGCTTGGAGACAAGGGCAGGCAGTAGACATATTTTGCTTAAGTGCATACTCATTTATATTTTTTAAATTGTAGATCACGTGTATACATCATCCACTTGGATTTTAATTAAAAAACTGGAATCTGAATCAAATCATGTGCAAACATCAAATAAATTCAAGTTGAGGAAGTCTACAAATTAGCTTATACTCTTCAAACACGTCAAAGTCATCAAATGAAAAGAGTGAGGAACTATTCCAGTTTAAGGGAGACTAATGCTACGATTACATCCTCCACTAGATAAAGATTGCTTTGGGAAAGGTGGCAAGATACAGTAAAGTTTGTAGATTAGTGATGGTATGACGTAAGTTGTTTCCTCATTTTGACATATTCTGGCTATATAAGCTAATGCCGTACGGCAAAATGTTAATCCAAGTGAAAGCTATTCATAAATACTTTCTCTGTATTACTTTTTGTAACATGTTTTAAGTCTGAAATGATTCATAATAAAAGATTTTTTAAAAAAATATGAGATACCATTTTCTACCCTCAGGAATAACTAACAACAAAAGACTTTTACTACAACACATTGTGGACTGAGTTATATTCCTCAAAAGATATATTATCTTTTGAGATAGGTTGGGGATTTAGCTCAGTGGTGTCGCTGCCTGCCTCGCAAACATAAGGACCCAAGTTTGATCCCTGGTACCAAAAAGAAAGATATACTAAAGTCCTAACTCTTAACACTTAAGAATGTGACCATATGTAAATAGGATCACTGCAAATTTAATCCGTTAAGATAAGGTCATAATGCTGTAGGGCGGGACCCTCATCCAATATGACTAGTTTCCTTATTTTAATAAGAAGACATGTGAAGACAATGACTTACATGGGGAACATCATGTGATAAAGACAGAAATTGGAATTATGGAGCTACAAGTTAACACCAAGATTGCAGCAACCACCAAAGATAAAAAGCTAGAGAGGCAAGGAAGTATATCATATTTATAGGAGTTTAAGAGTAGGGCCCTCTACCTGTGCCAATTTGGACTTCTGACCTTCAAAATTGTGAGACAATAAATTTCTGCTGTTTTGACCAATGAGTTTATGGTACTTTGTTACAACAGCCTTAGGAATATCATATACCAAGTGTGGAAGAGGATACAGAACAAGGAGAATTTCCAGACACTTATCTTAATTGACTCTTAGAAGTCAGACATACCCTTGAGCCCAAAATTTCACTCCTAGTACTTACCTAAAAGAGATGAAAGCACATAGCCACACAAAGACTTACCCATGAATATTTGTCATAGTTTTATTCAATAATAGCTAAAAGTAAGAAGCAAACTGAAAATGGTAACCGTAAGTGAACAGATGAACAAAATGTGGACTTAATGGACTATTTAGACATAAAAAGAAAGGAACTACTGGCACATATACTATCACAGATGGATTAAAAAAAAAACATGTTGAGCAAAAAAGCCAGGCACAAAAGTATATATACTGGTATGATTTCATTTTTATGAAGTTGTAGAAAAGATTCGACTAAGCCTTAACAGTAAAGACCAAACCATGGTTGCTGGGGATGGCAGATGTGGACCATGATAAGAATTCTGCCATGTCTTACATTTTATTACAGGTCAGACAACAGAGGGAGGAGAGAGATAAGAGAGGGCCATTTTAATTTACAGCTTCAAATAAATCAACAAGGGAAAAACTATGCCACTTTCCTTCCTGTATGCTGAAGTTCACCCATTAAGGCCACATCCCATTCTATTTTTGAAACCAACCAACCAAGTAGCAAACATTTTTCTTCATAGTTAAACTTACTATCCCAGACTTTGTCCACTTGTGTTGTCCCAACCCCTTATCTATAGCTAATGAAGGCCAGTGCAAATGATTTGTGTGTCTTCTCCTCAAACTTGTATCGATAAACACCCTGGCCCCTCTGTCATCTGCACATTTTCCAACTGCTGTATGGCCATGGTGGCTTTGGGAATTTGTCCCAAGGCTGGCCCTTCACATTCCGGCTAACTTCTACACAGGTCAATAAATCCAAAGGCCTCTTAATCTTGAGTTTGATGTCACAACTGGGAGGTATGAGGATACTTTCTAGGGTAATGAAAATGTCCTATATCTTGGCCAGGATGATAGCGGAATTAGTACATAAATTTGTCAAAACAACAAATTTTATGCTGCAAGTGGGTTATTTTATATGACTTACGTCTCAGAAAGAATGGATTAAAACATTTAGTGATTATTCCATCTAATAAAATCAAGACTAAGCTAATAACAAAACCACAACCTTCATCATTAAGAATGTGAATGCCCCCCTCTGTAGCAGATTTTACTGTCTCTTATCTTCAGTCAGTGAAATTGACCTTCCTCGAAGAGGCAATACCAAAACAAACCAAAAACAAACAAAAAACCCCACCTTCCCTTGTCCAGAAACTCCTTCTCTCTACTATTCATTACTTTTTTGGTGGTGGTGGTTCTGGAGATCAAACCAACTGCACATTCTAGCCAAGTGCTCTACCCCTGGGCTAGAGCTCCAGCCCCTATTGAGTTATTTTGCCTTTTAAAATTTGCTTGATTATATTGAGTAAATACTACAAACAGAAATCACAAGTTTATACCTCATACTTGTCAGTACAAAGCCTTCTTAAACTGTTTTTCTTTGATAAATAAACAAATGACATATTTAAGAGAACCCTAACACAAGATCTTTTGAAAAGAGAAAACACATTCAGTCTTGCAGGCAACAAAGTAAGCTCAAACTTTAAGAAAATAAAAAAGCACTTAGGGCCACAATGTCCCCTGGTATTTTACTTTCTTTTTCAGAAAAAGTTCAGATTCTGGGAAATACTAATAGATTCCAATTTCAAGAAACCTCTCAGGGAAAGAAAGGGGTGGGGAGGGGGAGGGG